TTAAGATATGCATGAATTTAGAAAATTTTTTGATTTTAATCTCACTTATTCTTTTACTTTTTGAACTTCGTCGGTATTTATTTAAAAAGATCGCTTTGTTTACTTTTCGTCAAAAATACTCGTGTCACATACAAAATGTCCCGATGTTGTCAAGTACTGCTGGAGTCATAAAGCGATCATTAAAATTTAAAAACTAGATTTGTAATTTTGTCTCTAATTTCGTTCTTGATATCGTTAACAATTGTTACATCTCAGAAGCGTACATATATAAAACTTATTAAATTATTTTTTTAAACCTGATATTTATTTACGAAGCGGAAGGCTTCGAACTAAGGGAACAAGCAGGAAACGAAAATGCTTATTGTAGATGTACCAAAAAATATATTGTATTCAAACTTTATACAAATCTCTCGTAGAAACTGGTAGGTTGTGATAAGAACTGATTTTCTCCCCAAAAATGCGTGGTAATAGTGAAATACTAATCTAATTTGGAGACGAAAAGTAATTTTATTTATACTTCAAATAATTAAATATTTTACTCAGCTATAATGAATATACAGCAACTCAATTATTAAAAAACTAATAAAATCAAAGTTAGTATATTTAATTACAAAATAAAAAATAATTAGCTTAGCTCTCAATATTCCCTAAAACAATCATGTTCCAAACAAAAATAATTGTACAAATCATATTGGACTAATATATATATATATAAATAATAATTATTCAAGAAATTCCATATTATTTTCTCCATAAAAAGATACAATGTAAGCTAGATTTTCTCATTTAATCATAATGTAAGTAAGTTACAGTCTTCTTTTGCAAAAAAAAAAAGAACAAGTTTTCGTCTAATTAAAGGATAATAAAAAAAGAAAATTAACTGCTGAAAACTAGACATAAATGGACTTCAAATTGATCATTCAAAGTGAATACTTTATACTTCTACAAACGAATTTCATGATGAGGAAGATGCGCGCGAAAGTATAAAATCGTGTTCCATTTCATGAAAGTCCATTTGGTACACTTACTCCTTATTCCATATAATAAAATTCAACAAAGTAAGGCGTCGAAAAGTGACGGGGAAGATATATACTTTACGACTCATAAGTTCTCCCGCGACCAGCTGCAGAAAACTACACATGAGAGGAAATTTTAGGTCATTGAAAGTTTATTCGATAAAGGTTAATAATTTTTTTTTCTCTCTCTTTTATTCTTAATTATTCATTAGGAATTGTTTTATATTCATATTTATATAAATTTATGATTAATAATTCACACTGTATATGCTCCAACTGTTTCCATTTACCGGGAAAGTAGTCTAAATGTTGTAATTACAGCTGTTAACCTAATCATTGAAATATAATGATGAAATATATAATTCTTAATGTAACTTAAATTTTTAATACTCATTTTATAAAATAAAAATAATATTAAAATAAATTCCAAAAACAATTTTTCGCTGCGTTCGTGAAATTTTGACGACTTTCTGACTGAAATTCAGGATTAAATTTATTAAGGAGTTACACCATTGTAGGAGGCTGAAGTTTAACGTTTTTTGCTTTTTTTTCGTGGAGTTCGGATCGTAATTTCTGTTAGTATTTGCAAAATGTAACGTTGAAATTTAATCTGATTGGGAATCAATTTCCATTCTTGGAAATTAAATTTTATTGTTGTGAATTAATTTTTGTAAATAGGAATTAATTTTTATTAATTCAAATTACTTTTTATATATGGAAATTAATTTCTATGAATGAAAATTAATTTCTATTTAAAAAAATTAATTTTTATATGTGGAGATTAATCTTTGTGAATGAAGATTAAGTTTTACATAAGAAAATTAATTTCTATGAATGAAAATTAATTTCAAAATAATTATGGAGATTAATTTCTATATGTAGAAATCAATTTTTACATATGGATATTAATTTCTATATATGAAGATTAAGTTCTATTAATAAAAATTAATTTCTATACATATGTAAATTAAATTCTATAAATGAAAATTAATTTCTATACATGGTTAGTATTTGCAAAATTTAACGTTGAAATTTAATCTGATTGGGAATCAATTTCCATTCTTGGAAATTAAATTTTATTGTTGTGAATTAATTTTTTTAAATGGAAATTAATTTCTATTAATTCAAATTACTTTTTATATATGGAAATTAATTTCTATGAATGAAAATTAATTTCTATTTAAAAAAATTAATTTTTATATGTGGAGATTAATCTTTGTGAATGAAGATTAAGTTTTACATAAGAAAATTAATTTCTATGAATGAAAATTAATTTCAAAATAATTATGGAGATTAATTTCTATATGTAGAAATCAATTTTTACATATGGATATTAATTTCTATATATGAAGATTAAGTTCTATTAATAAAAATTAATTTCTATACATATGGAAATTAAATTCTATATATGAAAATTAATTTCTATACATGGTTAGTATTTGCAAAATTTAACGTTGAAATTTAATCTGATTGGGAATCAATTTCCATTCTTGGAAATTAAATTTTATTGTTGTGAATTAATTTTTTTAAATGGAAATTAATTTCTATTAATTCAAATTACTTTTTATATATGGAAATTAATTTCTATGAATGAAAATTAATTTCTATTTAAAAAAATTAATTTTTATATGTGGAGATTAATCTTTGTGAATGAAGATTAAGTTTTACATAAGAAAATTAATTTCTATGAATGAAAATTAATTTCAAAATAATTATGGAGATTAATTTCTATATGTAGAAATCAATTTTTACATATGGATATTAATTTCTATATATGAAGATTAAGTTCTATTAATAAAAATTAATTTCTATACATATGGAAATTAAATTCTATATATGAAAATTAATTTCTATACATGGTAATTAATTTTTACATATAAAAATTAATTGTGGAGATTAATTTTTTTTTGTATTAATGATAATTACTTTCTATATATAGAAAAATATTTTTACATAAAGAAATTAATATTTATATATGAATATTAATTTTTGCATATGAAAATTAATTTCTTTACGTAGAAATTAATTATTACATATGGAAATTAATTTCTATTAATTAAAATTAATTTCTATATATGGAAATTAATTTCTATTAATTAAAATTAATTTCTACATATGGAAATTAAATTCCTATATATGAAAATTAATTTCTATACGTGGAAATTAAATTTTACATATGAAAATTAATTGTGGAGATTTATTCTTATGAATGAGCATATTTTTTATATGTAAAAATTAATTTTTTCATATGAAAATTAATTTTTTCATATGAAAATTAATTTCTATGAATATAAATTAATTTTTATATTAAAAAATGTAAAAAATTACGGCTGTTCTTCGAAGATGGTTTTTATTGGAGAAGCTCCACTGCACGCAGCACACAGGTTGCAAAAGTTAATATGAAAAAAAATAAATTTTTTTTTTCTTAATTAGAATAGCTACAGAAATACGTAGCCAATTTTGAAAATATTCATTTTTTTGTTAAATTGGCTTTTGTAATATAAACAAGTTTTAAAGTGTGTTACACATGGCAATATAAGTCAGTATAATTTTTCATTAAAAATTTTCCCTTTTGAGAAAAGTATATATGAATATGTATTATATATTCGTAATTTTATTAAGTGAATTCACATAATTCTTATATAGGTGATGAATAACTCAATAAACATAACAGGAGTTATCTCAAAGTCTATTAAATTTATTTTATGATGCAGTTATTATTTATACTACACAATAGAGAGATGAGAATATATATATTCTTTATTCACTGGCCTTTGACTTCTAAATGTGCGGCATTTAATTTTTTAGCAATGAATATTTATGAATAAAAAAAATTTCCTTTTTTAAGTAGATTAAGAGGGTGACTTTCGCTTATTCATTTTATTAATAATTGAAATTTAAAAAAAACATGTCGATCTCTATTGACTCAATTCCTTTTGCTTCCTCGTGGAGGAAGCTATGTAGTCCTTTCGTTTATAAACTTTTTAAAAATGGTGAAAACAAATTTTCCTCTATATAGAAACATGTTATATGAGATCCTGATCAATTGTCCGGATGTATGTATGTGTGTGTGTGTATGTGTGTGTGTGTGTGTGTGTGTATGTGTGTGTGTGTGTGGATCGTTTTTGTGAACACGATATCTTTAACAGGTTTTAATGGATTTGGATAAAATTTGGTAGGCTTATTTAACACATTAATCTCTCAAAAATGACGAGAGGATTTTTAAAAATACCCCCAAAAAAAAATTTTATCGTCTTTTTTCCAAAAATTTTTTTTTAATTGAAAAAATTTTTAAATCGAAAAATTTAAGGTAATATATAATATAATCGTCTTCTTTATGTCAAAATGAATCGATTGATATATATAAAGTATAGATTTGATTGAAATTTAAAGAATTAAAGAAAGTTAAAAAATCAAAAATTCTCATTTTAGCTAAAAAATGATGTGTTTATTTAAATTCATGTTTATATATAAAATAATTTTATTCCCTGCATTGAAACGAATTGGTTGGTATATATAAAGTATAGATTTGATTTAAAATTTGAGAATTAATAAAAATTGAAAAATCGAAAATTCATATTTTAGCTAAAAAATTTTGTGTTTTTTTTAAATTCAAGTTGATGAATAAAATAATTGTATTCCTTGCATTAAAACGAATCGATTCGTATATATAAAGTTTATGTTACACTCAAAATTAATTAAAATTTTCTTTATTTTTCAAAAAATTTAATTAATTTAAAACATTTTTAACTCGAAATTTTTTAAATCAATCAATTGAATTGGACAAATTCATTGCTTCCTTCACGAGGAAGCGAATTTTTTGCTTCACACAATGAGGAAGCATAATGTTTATGAAATAAACATAAAGGACCCCCTCCTTGTTTTTAATTATACAATTTTCGAATTTCTTTCTCCATATGTTATTAAGTTATATTAAAAAAATTAATTTTCTATAAAATTATCATTAATTTTGTTTATTTTCAGTTGAGGGACGCAAAAAAGGATTGAAGAAAAAGAAGAAACATTTAATGAAGCTAATTCCAATTGCACTACTTTTAAAATCAAAACTAAGCTTTCTGTTACAATTAATATCAACACATATGAGTGTTAAATTTTTCATTATCGCTGTTATTGGCCTAATTATAAATATTGCACGTTTCTGGTTGGATTTAAAAAAAAGTCATCATCCATCTAAAGTGATTTATTATGAACACGCTCAACATCAACATCATTATGATCATGAAGATGAACACGGTGGTGGATATTGGGGTAGATCTATTGACGAAGCTGGACAAGATATTGCCTACAAAGCTTATAATCCCGAGTATGCGCCTACACAATGATTTCCAACTTTACACAACAGTTTGACTGATGATCATCAAACTTCAATTGAATGGAATTTTTATCAAAAAAAGTAACTTAACAATAGCAGACAAAAAAAATTTAATTTAAAAGAAAATATCGACCGAAAAAATAATTGATAATAACGATGCCTACTTATCGGCATTTATCGACATTTTAAGTATCAAAAGAAAACGATATATTTTTTATATTGATAAAACTATTTTACGTATATTTATTTTACAGAAATAATTTATAGATACAATCTTTTTTTTCTAAATATTCTCCCCAACATTTTGTTTTATTATTTATATTTATTTATTTATTTAATTACTGTACATTACCGACTGCGGCAAAGTCGCTCCATCAATTACGGGAGAACTTTTAGAAAAATAGATTATCAAATTAAAACAATAATTATTATCTACTATATTATGATGAAAGAAAATTAAAAGAGAATTTTTTTGTGAAAATTTTTAATTGAAAAAAGTTGTAAATTTTTTTTATTAAACCGACAAAGATTGCTTATTATATGAAAACGATAAATGCATATATAGTTAAAAACAGATTTTATTATTAATTTATTATTTATATTATTTAATTAATATTATTTATATAATTTAATTAATATTATTTAATTACATTAATTAAATAATGAAATGAAATTTTTTAAATCTGTTTTTACCAAATACAATTTTTTTGAAAATTAAAAACAATACAAATTTTTTATCTTTAGTTTTACGTCACAATGAATGAATTTATTTTACTTTTGATTACATTAATCAATTAAAGAACAAATAAATTGATATATATATATATTTGTTGATTAACGTTCAAATTAAAATTTACATTTCTAAAAATTTATATATATTTTCAAATATTATCTTATACAATATTGTACAATTTTTCCTTCAAAGTATTTTTTCTCTTATATTTTTGTATTATTCAAAATATATAATTCGGTTGGAAAAATTTTTTAAGAACTTTGAAATACACAAAAATTTAATTTTCTTTTAAAATTGAAAAAAAAAGAATTCAACATTTAAACCAAAGTGTATTTTTTTTATTGCATATAAATAAATAGTAAACAAAGAAGCCATAAAATAAGAAATAATTAAGTTATAGAGAAAATAATTTGTTATTTAAGAAATAAGTATTTATTTGCCGCAAAATTGTTTTATATACGTGCCTAATTTATTTACATTATTTATTCATTTGTGCACAAAATCTGTTGATATTTTGTCTTCAATAAAATAATATGAAAAAAATGTCATTGTATTTGTAAATACCATTATTAATATCCAGTTCGTAAACGATTTATAAATTTTTTTTAATTTATGTTTTTTTTTTTAAATGTCCCGATGTTGTCAAGTACTGCTGGAGTCATAAAGCGACCATTAAAATTTAGCAAATAGTAGCTTCAAAACTCCAGGAGTTGCTCCAAAATACGAGTTAAGTTCCAACCTCCGGTTTAGGGAAATAAAAAATTATTCAACGTGCTAAAGAATATTGTTTTTAATGAATAATATGATTTACAAAAAAATAATTTATTTAATTAAATTATTTTAATTACAATTTCTTTTAATAAAAAGTATGCAAAATTTTTTTTTGTAGAATAATTAAATTAAAACAAGTTTTTTTTATATTCTTTTTTAACATCATTTATTGGTTTCAATTTTTAATGTTTTGAACTAACATTAAGTTGTACCTACAACAAAAATAATAATAATCCTTAAGTTTTCTAATTAAAAATAATAATAATAAATCAACTAATTAATAACAAAAATATAAAGTTGTTGAAATATTTTGTCGTTTATTTATTATCAGAACTTATATTGTGAACAGTAATTTAAATATAATTATAAAGTAAAATGATTGAGTCCTTTCTTATATTAATTCACACACGAGAACAAAGTAATTTAATTAAGAGTTCACACAAGGTGGCGTCTTTAATCAGGCAGACCCGTGTTGCCATCTTTAATAGGCGGGAACAACATATTTTTATAAAATAATATATTATTAATAATAATAAACTACTCACTTGTTATAAATTGCAGCACATATGTTTGTAACAAATTCCCTAACAATTTCTTCCTTCTTTATATCATCAAATTTTTTTTTCAAACAAATTTCAACATTATCTATTAGTTTTTGTGACAAAAATGAAATATTTTGGTTTACGTCACAAAAATGGTTAATTAAAAAATTCAAATCCTCCTGTAAGGAATCATTTGTTATTTTCTTTTCTATTGTTGAACTAATATTTTCTTGTAGTTTAAGTAATTTTTTTTTCTCGTTTAAAACATCATTTGCTTTATTAGAATCACATTTTAGTAAAATTGAATCAGCATCAAATCCAAATTGTCTTCTAAATATGAAAGACACTGGACTTCCACAATAAATTGTTTCTAAATTATCTGAGAAAAATATATAATGAATAAATAAAAAAAAACAAATATTAAAATTAAATTTTTTTAATTTTTGATAAAATTTAATTATTCCATTTTTTACAAATATTTAATTAATATATTAAGTTTTTGTGTTTGAATGTAGTAATGAATTAGTTTTATTGACAAACTTACAGGTGAGAAATAAAATAAAGAGAAAATACATTGTCTTTAGTTCTCGTAAAAATTTGAAAATCACTGAAAATATTTGCATTTATTGTTGCTAATATACAAAAAATTTACAATAAAAACAAGCTATTATTTCTACGAATCATTAATTTAATAGCTTTTAGAAACCAGTTTTTTTAATTTCCAATAATACATAAAAATGTTAAATTTACACAATTATATTTTTTAATCCGTATAGAAATATAAAAAAAAATTGTTTTGAATTCATCTGATTAACAGGAATTATTTTAAAACAACAAATAAATTTTTATTTAATTTTTTTAACAAAAACATAAATTTACTGTTAATTATCTGATAATAAAACTTAATTTAAGAATAGTTCATCTTCTAGCGTTATTTAACAATAAATCAACTATGATTTATTATTATAAGGTTTCTCCTTTAATGATTAAATTTATGTCCATAGGTAAAGTCAGGATGACGCAATAAAATATTTTTTTTTAATTTTCAAAACAAAATTTTTAATTAATTTAATTAATTGCTTTTTTCAATAACCTTTTTCTCCCAAATAATAATTAATTTTTTGGGAATTTCCGCGTTTGTAAAATGAGTGTTAATGGATTTTTTGTATTATGTCACCTATGCAATCGTGTTTTATTATTATCTTTAATCAAAATAATTATATCTAGAAAATTAATGATGATATTTCCTTGACTTGGTCCGAGGTGAATAGTGATGTAACTCTAAAACATTTTAATAATTGTAATGCATCTAAACATTGATAATAATGTTTTCTTGACTCGTTGTAAGGTTAATAGTGAGATAACTATCAAACAATTTTAAAAATTGCATTACACTATTTAAACTTTTCAAAATCTCTTATGAATAGATAGTTTTCCTAACACTTTCAAACAAGAAGTACTTAAAAATATACTCATCGTTTGTAAATGTAAAATAATAAAAAAATTGCATTAACTGTATTATATTAACAATTGATAACTAAGCATGAAGACATATTTTATTGTTTTAATGGTAGTAACTATTGGTAAGTTTATTTTTTTTTATTGTATAGAGGATATGTATTTTAGTGAAAATTAATGTGTTCTACTCCACGGAGAGAAGTTCGTTAGAAAAACCTTATTGTGAAAAATGAGTTCTAAAATTTTCGCTAGTTATCTAAAATTTAGAAAATGGTTTAAAATTTAATTACCGTATTGTTTAATTTTGATAACAAGTTTTAAATTCCGGCATAACATATTCGGTGTTCTTTAAATTCCGAATTCCATCCAGATTTCGTCATCGTAGATCTGGATATGGAATCGATATCCTAAATATGGAAGTTCTGAATTATGGAATACGATGATGGGAACCATATATTTTATCTGGAATCATTACTATCCTTCTCATTTGGCAGCACATGAAACCAATTTTTGTGTATCTCAATTTCTCCAACCTGTCCGCCTCCTCTGAGTCGGTAACTACAACAGCGAGCTTCCTTCCTCGTCGGTTGGCTCCTAGAACCATCACTTTTCGGCTTCTGGAGCACTTCTGCCAACGCCTGTTGAACCTCTACTTCCTGAGTATGGCAATCCAGGTCGCGGATCTTCAGTGTGACCTGTCGATCCACCGTCTGCACCTTCCCCATGCTTCCAACTACTTTGATGACTTTAGCGGCAATGGCTCCTTATTGGAGTCTTATCCGCTTTTGATCAGGAGATTTTCCTTTTTTGTTGGGGTTGCATCCACGACCTACTGATGTCCGCATTCACTTCCCTTCAATGTTTGCTCAGTACGTCAGCATACGTTTTTCCTCTTGCGACTCGGATCACCATTGTAGATCCACTCGTCGTTTTCTGCTTACTGGTTTGCTTAGGATTCGGTACTACCGTCACCTTTACCAATATTTCTACCTCATTATCAGCTGGTGGTGTTTTGTCTTCCCCTCACTGACAAGATTCTGAAGAGTCTTAAGTCCGTCCTTAATAATCATGTTGACATTCTTTTGCACTTCGCAAAACTTTACCATCTTGGCGATCTCCTCTTCGATCCTCTGAAGACACTCAGCTTTCTCCACCCTAAGCTTTAAACACTTTTCGCGTTCTCCTTCGATTGTTAGGTTAGACGGAATCGCATGTAAGATGCATAAGAACCCGATTGTCTCATCGGTTGGGTCCTAAGACCTGTCGATTCACGGTCTGAACCTTCCCCATGCTTCCAACCGCTTTGGTGACCTCAGCAATGAATGTCTCTTTATTGGAGTCTCCTCCGATTTTGATCAGATCTCCCTTTCTTGTAGGTCTTGCGCCCACGATCTACGTGTGTCTGATGTTCGGATTCAATACCTCCAAAATTTGATCAGTTCATTGGCATTCGTTGTTCCTGTTGCGCCTCTGATCACCGTTGTAGTCGCTTTCTACATTCCTCGCTTTCTTCTTACTGGTTTGCTTAGGATTCGGTGCCACCGTCACCTTCCCAATCTTTTTGAAAAGAGGTTCCTTCTCTTGCTTCTTCTTCGCCTCGGCGTCAGTCCTCTCAAGACTGGACTGGATCTCAATTCTACGCCACTATAAAATTAAATTCCGACATAGTTTACTAATTACAATAATTAATAAAATATTTTTTTGCGTCATTACATTATTATTTATTGCTCTACATGATTAATTTTCTTATGAAATAAATTTTTTTATATTTTACAAAGGTTACATCCAGCATGTTCCTGCTATGTCAATGGTCGAGCCGATTTCATCCGCCTTAATGAGTGTTCTAGCAGAAGATGAAATTCCCACAGAATCAATGTGCCCGGCCAATTATCAGCAAATCGAAAAACTCAAAATACAGGCAGTACGTTTGCAATTAAAATTATCGCCCCTAATAACAGGAAAATTAAAAGATCCCCATTCACCTGATGGAGTAGACGATCTTATTGTTCAGTATTGCAAAAATGACGAGGATATAAATAAAACAGTAAAAAGTCTTTCTGAAAATGTGAAAAATTGCCAAACTGAAAAAGGTAACATTGACAATGTAAAATTGGAAAAATTGGAAACTGATGCTATTACCAAAATTTGTGCTGGTACAGGTGCTATGTAAGTTTTACAATTGTCGATTATTTCAAGAATCCTTTAATTTTAATTGTAAGAAATTGTTTCCGTTATTTAAGTTTAATCCCGAATAATAGGTTATATATTTCTTTGAGTTTTAAGTGGATAATTTTGTAGAACAATTCTATTATTTTATAGTTTTCTATTCAGGTAGTTATTATTTAGCTTTGTATTTGTTTTTCAATATATCTGGTGATTTAGATGATTTGTACATATTTGTGGCTTAATGTAAATATCTTCTTCCTGGGTAAAGCAATTCAGATCGCGGATTCCATGCTTGCAACTGTTTCGGTGACCTCAGCGGTGAATGTTTTCTTATTGAAGACATTTCCGATTTTGATCAGGAAATCTCCCTTTCTTGTAGGCCTTGCACCCTCGACCTGAGTGTGTCTTGACGTCTGGATTCACTTTCTTCCGAAGTTTGCTCAGTACGTCGGCATATATTGTTTCTGTCTATCTAAACCTACAAAAAACGACCGGTTTAAATTAAAGTGCTGTAATACGACGACTGTTGAACGAATGTTTGAACGACGATATACAGTGGAGTCACGAATCAATTTGCGAATTACAAGAAAAGAGTTAAGTTGAACTACAGTTCATAGGAGTCATACCGTTCTCTCTAAATTTGAAATAGCGAAAATTTCACTGTTTGAATCAGCGAATAAAGTTTTCACTGCAAATCAGCGGTTACAGCTAATAAAATAGCGAAACACGAATCGGCGAACGTCGGTCATTTTCGTCGGAAGATAAATTTATTTTAAAATGGAGTATTCCGCTGATTGAAATAGTTGTTAGTCGCTGATTCGCAGCTGCATACTTATAGCTTTTTCAATCAGCGACTATTCGCTGCCAATCAGCGGATTTTAGCTGATTCAAATTTAGAGAGTTGGTAAGCCGATGGGCCTGGTACAACAGACCCCGTCTAACCCCTGTTTATTAAATATTTCAAATCGATTACACAATTCCCATTGTAGAATTTGAATCGTCACTTTCTTCTTACTGGTTTGCTTAGGATTCGGTACTACCACCACCTTCGCAATCATTTTGATAAAAGGTGCCTTCTCTTCTTTATTAATTCCGGAATTTTTTTTCAGGATTACCTGGAATATTATAAATTTAAACATAGCTGAAGGAAGAAAGCCTGATGGAACGATGTAAAAGTTTAAAACAAAATTAAATTAATGAATCAGCTGTTCCTTTCTTAGGAATTAAAATTTGTTACCTTGGAAATTTCATTAGCGTTGGTAACCCTTTGATGAGATGGTATTACTGACACATATAGAAGAACACATTTTTCGAATTTAACAGTAATTGAGAATAAACATTTACTGTAACTTTATTATAAACATTTAATTCTTAATAAATTTGTTACAGAAAATAACAATTAATTATATTTTTGATCAATCACTTATTATAAATTTTCCTAGCAGTGTTTCTCAAAATTTTATAAATGAGAATCCGATGCATTAATTATAATTTCAATATTTAAAATTATTATTGTTAACTGCCTATTGTTATAGTTTAATTGTATATTAATTATTGTAAATTATAATTTATTAATTAATAATTAATTAACTAACATTAAGATTTACTACAAAGCATTGAAGTTTAGTTTTTATTATTGTTATTAATTATTATATTATTATTACTAAATTATAATTTCATCACAAAGAATTTTTACAAGTGTCGCAAATCCTTTCCTCAAATTTAACAAGAAGAGTAGTTTTTTAAATATAGAATTAACCTAATGTTGTAGTTAAATATAAAAAGATTTTTATGTGTATATATAATATTCTCCTACACAGAGTTGCAAGAAAATTTCTTACTGCAATCTATTAGTATAATGCAAAATTATATCAGTAGGAGTGACAATTTAAAATATGACATAACGTCCTGTCGATTTATACAAGGATAAATATATGTATATATTGTAAGCGTAGTAGATAATATTTCAGTAGTCAGAGAACATTCCAAGTCTAAGTGACACATTTAAAATTAAAATGTCGAATCCTCTTGTAAAAATTGAACAAGGTTCTTTAAATGGTGCATTTGTTGATGGTGAACTTGGACAATTTATGACATTTCGTGGAATTCCTTATGCTGAACCACCAGTTGGAAAATTAAGATTCAAGGTAATGAAAATATTCTATTTTTGTTATAAATTTCTGGTGAAAAGTTCTTCTTCATTAATAAACCTCATTGCATCAATTTTTTTTTTTGCATGTTACAACATTAAACAAGTTTTTTTTCCAACCTAAAATCAGATCTGAATTTTTTAAATTCATCAAAGTTAAGGTTTCTTAAATGCTTAGAAATAAATATGTAATTTCAAAGAGTTTAGAAAACTAAATTTTTATTTTATTGATTTTGAAATCTATTCATAGGCATTTTTGCTCTTGATTTTGTACTAACTTAAAAAAATATTATTTGTAGCAAATAAGTAAGATATTAAAAGCGCGCGCCTGCGTATAACACTTTACTAACAATATAGACTGTGGAAATATTTTGAGGCGATTATAACAATATAAGTGGTTTGTGCAGAGATTGATAATTCAATAAAATTTAATTAAAAAACATTTTACTTTTTCACTGAGAAATAAATAAAAATTATAATTAATTATTAATAAAATTTTAACAGAAATTTATAATTTCCTTAACGATTTTAACAAAAAAAAATAATTTGTTTTTTATTTATATCCAATAAATTTTATTCAATTCAAATAAACGATATCTCCTGGTGTGAAGGATATAAATTTTTTCATATATATATATATAACAAAAATCTTATTTTATTGTAAAAAGTAAGAACTTGAAAAAATTCTTTTTCAATTTGTTTTACTTACATTAAAAACGAGATGTTTATTTTGGTAAATTATTGAATTTAATGCTTACGTAATTATTTCCATATGTTAAAAGGAATTTAATTATAGAACAGATTGCACCCAACAAACTGCTAAGTCATATTTTAATTTAAAAATGAGTTCATATCTGATGTTACTGTAAACGAAGATACATCCAACGAGATAAAATTATTTTTTGTGACTAAAATATTAATTTTCTAATAAAATAATTTAATGAATAAAAATAAATTTAAAAAAAATTTATTCATTATATATTATAAATATATTTTATTATTTAAATAAAAATATAAATTATATAAATATAAATTATAAATATATAAATTATATTATTTATTTAATAACATTTATTATATCTATTTTATTTATTTATTATTAATATAATAATTATTATTATTTATCAATTAATAACTTCTAAAATAATTCACTTTTCTACTTTTGCTTTTCGTTACTGACAATAATTAATTCTTTAAATTAGAAAGGAAAATAATATACAATTTAAAATTTATATTTGCATCTATATTTTTTTTCCTTTAAATTACGATTGTCAACATTAGTTGTTCCTATAATAAATTTTTTTTTCTGTCGATAACATTATTATTTTTAACTCTATATTTGTATATAAATGTCTAGGTTATATTTTTTTTTGCTGACGATAATGGTGTATTAAGCAATAAGGTATATTAAAAGGAATTTATCTACTTGAGATAGCACGAAGCACACGTGATAAGAAATATAATTATAAAATAATTTTAAAAGTTTATTTTTTACGTTAATTTGAATTTTTTAAATTTGATGTTAGATTTTAAATTAATAACCTCGAAAATAATTGAGAGGAAAATTTTAAACAAATCGGATCATTTTTTAAATATCATTCGTCATATAGGATCAGCAATTTTAAATTTTGAAAAAGTAATGTCAAATTTTTATTCGTAGACATTTAAGTTTTAGATTTTACTATGGTTTTTAAAAGGAAAAAAAAAATTATTTACAATAGTTAAGCAGATTCTGTCCTATTGTCAAAAAAATTATCGTTTTCATTTAATCATAATAGTTCAAAAATATTAAAAATGAAATTGACTGCATTTAAAATAAACAATTTTCTACTTAAAGGATCCACAACCTCCGAAATCTTGGGGTGGAATTCGAGATGCAAAGAATGAAGGAAATGTTCCACCACAATTTGGACCACAAATTAATCAATTTATTGGACAAGATGATTGTCTTTTTATTAATGTATCGACGAATAATTTAACAGAACTGAAACCTGTTATGGTTTGGATATATGGCGGTGGTTTTACAAATGGTTCAGGAAATGCGGACTTTTATAGACCAGATTATTTTATGCAACACGATGTTGTGTTTGTCTCTTTTAACTATAGGCTAGGAATGTTAGGTAAATTATTTCCATTTCCAAAAAGTAACAGAAAATTACAAATTTTATTGAAAATTAAATTTAAAACCTTTTTTTAATTAGGATTTTTAAATATGGATATGGAAGATTGTTCAGGGAATCAGGGACTAAAGGATCAAGTACTCGCTTTGAAGTGGGTTCAAAAAAATATCGGTGCTTTCGGTGGTGATAAAAATAATGTGACAATTTTTGGAGAAAGTGCTGGATCTGCTTCTGTTCACTATCTTTGCATTTCTCCTTTGGCCAAAGGTGATTTCTATCTATAAATTGTTTTGTACTCAGTACTTTCAAGAGCAATGGATTTTCAATTTATTAAAAATAATTTTCAGGACTATTTCACAAAGCAATCGCTCAAAGTGGAGTTGTAATTAATCCATGGGCACATCAGACTTCTAATAAAGAATATGCAATAAAAGTTGCCACTGAATTAGGTTGCTCTTCATCAAATAACGAAGAAATAGTACAGTTTCTTCGTACAAAACCTATTGAGGAGATTCTTAAGACACAATATGAAATTTTTGACATAGTAAGTGAGAAGGAAAGAAAGATTTGAAATGGAACAATTTAAGGAATCTGGCTGTTCCATAAAGCAGTCTTAATGAAATTTTTCTCCCTCTTCTTAACTAAAGATTTCTAAATTCTTAGGAAAGTTATTATGTTCAAATGATAATTAATTTTTTTTATATTTCTAATTCATCTTTTTAGCATCCATTGAGATTGGATTTTCATTTCGTTCCTTCGGTGGATAATAAATGTCCTAATCCATTTCTACCGAAACCTTTATCGGAAATGATTGAAAGTGGAATTGACGTTCCTTTAATCATAGGTTACACCTCAGATGAAGGAATGGTTTCCCTAGGTAAAATTTATTAAGAATTCATATTAAGCTAAAAATTTATTAAAATTAATTTTAATTTAATAATATAGGGAGCCCAGAATTTAATAATGAAGAAAAAATCAGTAAATTTATTACCAATTTCGAGGAAAATCTTTGCAAAGATTTGAAGATTAATTCAAGTGTTGCTTCGAAATTTTCTAATGATGTAAAACAATTTTATTATGGAGATGATTCAATTTATAAAACAGAACATGATAAATTTGTTCAATTCAAGGGAGATGTACTATTTGCTTCAGGAGTTTGGCATATAGTGGAAAAACAATTGCAGAAAAAAACTCCAATATATTTATATAAATTTTCACATTCTCCAGAATTTTCTCTTGTAAAGATGTTCTTTCAAATTAACACAAAAGGTAACTTTTTTTACAAACAGTGTTTAAAAGTAATTGATTATTATTATTCTAATTAATTAATTAAATATTCTTTCAGGTGCATGTCATGCTGATGATATGACTCATTTGTTTTACAAAGCACTTCTCCCTCAAAATATGCAACTACAAAAAGGGACAAAAGATTATTTAATAATGGAACATATGACGAGAATGTGGACTGATTTTGCAAAAACAGGGTAAGAGAATAAAATGTTCAAAGATTTAATTTTAGATAAGATATTTTTTATGAAAATTTCAATAATTTTTTGCTTTCAAAACAGAAATCCAACACCTAAAATAGATGATCTTATAAAATCCAAATGGTCTTCGTACAATTCTGATAAAAAATGTTGTCAGCACATTGTTGATAATTTCAATACAGAAGATAATTTCATTGAAAATTCGTGGAAATTATGGAAATCAATATACCAAAAATATAAGTTATTTTAATTTACAAATTATGTCTATGCAAATAATTTCATTAACTTAATTATAAATACTTACTTATTATTTTTGTATGTCAAAAATAAATGTAAATCATTTTATATTTTAGAAAATTTTTATTTTTATTAATTAACTAAATAAGAATGACAAATCTGCATAACCCTTGGTATACAAGGCAGATAACAAGATCCCTGTGCTGCGAGATTGTGTCGGGATGATAATTGAGCCTCCCAATTCTTATTCTGGTCAACCAACTAAAAACCTCACCCTTTGGCTGAACTAATCCTCTCACTACGGAAATGCGGTCAAGCTTTAAACTTCGTAGGTGAACGTCCCTGGCCTATTTATTCTTCATTTGTGCGAGAATATTTTTGACTTCCTCAACAGGTGCTCTAAAGACTAT